GCGTCATAGGGCCCCATTGTTGCGTCATAGAGTCCATTGTTGTGTCATAGGGCCACATTGTTGAGTCATAGACCCCATTGTTGCGTCATAGGGCCCCATTGTTGTGTCACAGGGCCACATTGTTGGGTCATAGACCCCATTGTTGCGTCATAGACCCCATTGTTGAGTCATAGACCCCATTGTTGCGTCATAGGGCCCCATTGTTGCGTCATACGGCCCATTGTTGCGTCATAGGGCCACATTGTTGCATCGTAGGGCCCCATTATTACCCCATAGAGCCCCATTATTACCCCATAGAGCCCCATTATTGCCCCATAGAGCCCCATTATAACCCCATAGAGCCCCATTATTACCCCATAGAGCCCCATTATTGCCCCATAGAGCCCCATTATTGCCCCATAGAGCCCCATTATAACCCCATAGAGCCCCATTATTACCCCATAGAGCCCCATTATAACCCCATAGAGCCCCATTATTGCCCCATAGAGCCCCATTATTACCCCATAGAGCCCCATTATTACCCCATAGAGCCCCATTATTGCCCCATACAGCCCCATTATAACCCCATAGAGCCCCATTATTACCCCATAGAGCCCCATTATTGCCCCATAGAGCCCCATTATAACCCCATAGAGCCCCATTATTACCCCATAGAGCCCCATTATTGCCCCATAGAGCCCCATTATAACCCCATAGAGCCCCATTATTACCCCATAGAGCCCCATTATTGCCCCATAGAGCCCCATTATAACCCCATAGAGCCCCATTATTACCCCATAGAGCCCCATTATTGCCCCATACAGCCCCATTATAACCCCATAGAGCCCCATTATTACCCCATAGAGCCCCATTATTACCCCATAGAGCCCCATTATTACCCCATAGAGCCCCACACCTTCCAAGCTCCGGCTCGGAGCACCCCAACGGGTAGGAACTCCAGCAGGGGAAGCAGTGCAAAAGGAGAATCTATGGGTTCGGGATGGAAACGCTGGCCCCATAGGGGGAATCCGGGCCCTATATTCACCATAGGGCACCCTATAGACGCTATAGGGCTGTGGGAGGACGTGGGGAAGCAATTAGGGCGCCTTGGAACAATTGGGCAATAGGAAGGGGTTGGCCAAAGACATAGGGACCACGCATAGCAATTTCTGCCTTATTTTTACCCGTTTTAAGCCATTTTTGGGCAATTTCTCAACAGTTTATGGCCATTTTTAGCCTGGTTTAACCATTTTTAGCTATTTCTAAACGGGCTCGAGCTATTTCTAACCCGTTTTTGCCCAATTCTGACTCTTTTTAAGCCATTTTGACCATTTCGAACCCATTTTTCTCCATTTCTTACCAATTTCTTTCGATTTTTAACCCGTTTTTGCCCAATTCTGACTCTTTTTAAGCCATTTTTGGGCCATTTCGAACCCATTTTTGTCCATTTCTTACCAATTTCTTTCGATTTTTAACCCGTTTTTGCCCAATTCTGACTCTTTTTAAGCCATTTTTGGGCCATTTCGAACCCATTTTCCTCCATTTCTTACCAATTTCTATCGATTTTTAACCCGTTTTTGCCCAATTCTGACTCTTTTTAAGCCATTTTGACCATTTCGAACCCATTTTTCTCCATTTCTTACCAATTTCTTTCGATTTTTAACCCGTTTTTCCCAATTCTGACTCTTTTTAAGCCATTTTGACCATTTCGAACCCATTTTTCTCCATTTCTTACCAATTTTTTTCGATTTTTTAACCCGTTTTTGCCCAATTTTGACTCTTTTTAAGCCATTTTGGCCATTTCGAACCCATTTTTCTCCATTTCTTACCAATTTCTTTCGACTTTTAACCCGTTTTTGCCCAATTCTGACTCTTTTTAAGCCATTTTGGCCATTTCGAACCCATTTTCCTCCATTTCTTACCAATTTCTTTCGATTTTTAACCCGTTTTTGCCCAATTCTGACTCTTTTTAAGCCATTTTGGCCATTTCGAACCCATTTTTCTCCATTTCTTACCAATTTCTTTCGATTTTTAACCCGTTTTTGCCCAATTCTGACTCTTTTTAAGCCATTTTGGCCATTTCGAACCCATTTTTCTCCATTTCTTACCAATTTCTTTCGACTTTTAACCCGTTTTTGCCCAATTCTGACTCTTTTTAAGCCATTTTGGCCATTTCGAACCCATTTTCCTCCATTTCTTACCAATTTCTTTCGATTTTTAACCCGTTTTTGCCCAATTCTGACTCTTTTTAAGCCATTTTGGCCATTTCGAACCCATTTTTCTCCATTTCTTACCAATTTCTTTCGATTTTTAACCCGTTTTGGCCCAATTCTGACTCTTTTTAAGCCATTTTGGCCATTTTGAACCCATTTTTCTCCATTTCTTACCAATTTCTTTCGATTTTTAACCCGTTTTTGCCCAATTCTGACTCTTTTTAAGCCATTTTGGCCATTTCGAACCCATTTTTCTCCATTTCTTACCAATTTCTTTCGATTTTTAACCCGTTTTTGCCCAATTCTGACTCTTTTTAAGCCATTTTGACCATTTCGAACCCATTTTTCTCCATTTCTTACCAATTTCTTTCGATTTTTAACCCGTTTTGCCCCTTTCTTGACTTGGTTTTAACCATTTTTGGCTTTTTCTAACCCATTTTAAGTCTTTTTGGCTATTTCTAAGCAATTGCTGGTCATTTTTATCATATTTTTGCCCATTTTTTGCCAGTTTTAAGCCATTTTTGGGCTAAATCTCAACTATTTATGGCCATTTTCAGCCTGGTTTAACCATTTCTAGCTATTTCTAAACCGGCTCGAGCTATTTCTAACCCGTTTTTGCCCAATTCTGACTCTTTTTAAGCCATTTTGACCATTTCGAACCCATTTTTCTCCATTTCTTACCAATTTCTTTCGATTTTTAACCCGTTTTTGCCCAATTCTGACTCTTTTTAAGCCATTTTGGCCATTTCGAACCCATTTTTCTCCATTTCTTACCAATTTCTTTCGATTTTTAACCCGTTTTTGCCCAATTCTGGCTCTTTTTAAGCCATTTTGACCATTTCGAACCCATTTTTCTCCATTTCTTACAAATTTCTTTCGATTTTTAACCCGTTTTTGCCCAATTCTGACTCTTTTTAAGCCATTTTGGCCATTTCGAACCCATTTTTCTCCATTTCTTACCAATTTTTTTCGATTTTTAACCCGTTTTGGCCCTTTCTTGACTTGGTTTTAACCATTTTTGGCTTTTTCTAACCCATTTTAAGTCTTTTTTGTTATTTCTAAGCAATTGCTGGTCATTTTTATCGTATTTTTGCCCATTTTTTGCCAGTTTTAAGCCATTTTTGGGCAATTTCAAAATAGGTAAAAAAAGCTGAAACCAGGCTGGAAACTTCCCAAAATAGTTCAGATTTAGCCCAAAATGGAACAAAACCAGCAAAAAATGGGCAAAAATAAGACAAGAATGAGCAATTGTTTAAAAATAGCCAAAAAAAGACTGAAAATGGGTTAGAAAAAGCCAAAAATGAAGATGAAATTGGGCCGAAACTTGATGAAATTGGGGCAAAACTTGAGTGACTTCTTGAGCCCCATAAGTGACCCCATGAGCCCCATAAGTGATTACTTGAGCCCCATAAGTGACCCCATGAGCCCCATAAGTGATTACTTGAGGCCCATAAGTGACCCCATGAGCCCCATAAGTGACCCCATGAGCCCCATAAGTGATTACTTGAGCCCCACAAGTGATTACTTGAGCCCCATAAGTGACCCCATGAGCCCCATAAGTGATTACTTGAGGCCCATAAGTGACCCCTGGGCCCCATAAGTGACCCCTTGAGACCCACAAGAGACCTTTCAGACCCATAAGTGACATCTTGAGCCCCATGAGTGACTTCTTGAGCCCCATAAGTGACCCCATGAGCCCCATAAGTGATTACTTGAGCCCCATAAGTGACCCCATGAGCCCCATAAGTGACCCCATGAGCCCCATAAGTGATTACTTGAGGCCCATAAGTGACCCCTGGGCCCCACAAGTGACCCCTTGAGACCCACAAGAGACCTTTCGGACCCATAAGTGACATCTTGAGCCCCATAAGTAACCCCATGAGCCCCATAAGTGATTACTTGAGGCCCATAAGTGACACCATGAGCCCCATAAGTGATTACTTGAGGCCCATAAGTGACCCCATGAACCCCATAAGTGACCCCATGAGCCCCATAAGTGATTACTTCAGGCCCATAAGTGACCCCATGAGCCCCATAAGTGACCCCATGAGCCCCATAAGTGACCCCTTGAGCCCCACAAGTGACCTTTTAGGACCCATAAGTGACCCCTTGAGCCCCACAAGTGACACTTTGGGACCCATAAGTGACCCCATGAGCCCCATAAGTGACCCCGTGAGCCCCACAGGTGACCCCTTGGGCCCCATAAGTGACCCCATGAGCCCCATAAGTGATGTTAGGACCCATAAGTGACCCCTTGAGCCCCACAGGTGACCCTTTGGGACCCACAAGTGACCCCTTGAGCCCCACAAGTGACCCCTTGAGCCCCACAAGTGACCCCTTGGGACCCACAAGTGACCCCTTGAGCCCCACAAGTGACCCTTTGGGACCCATAAGTGACCCCTTGAGCCCCATAAGTGATGTGTTAAGACCCATAAGTGACCCCTTGAGCCCCACAAGTGACCCCTTGAGCCCCACAAGTGACCCTTTGGGACCCATAAGTGACCCCATGAGCCCCATAAGTGACCCCCTTGAGCCCCACAAGTGACCCCTTGGGACCCACAAGTGACCCCTTGAGCCCCACAAGTGACCCCTTGGGACCCACAAGTGACCCCTTGAGCCCCACAAGTGACCCTTTGGGACCCATAAGTGACCCCATGAGCCCCACAAGTGACCCTCTGGGACCCACAAGTGACCCCTTGAGCCCCACAAGTGACCTTTTGGGACCCATAAGTGACGCCTTTATTAAATAGCCAACCATTGAAAGGGGGGCGGGGTTAAATGGGGCCAATGGGGTTAAAGGGGGAGGGGTTAAGCCCCGCCCACCAAGGGGGCGGGGCTAAGGGGGCTCCGCCCCCCCCGCAGCGCCAGGACAAGATGGAGGACGGAGCCCCCCTGGATCTTGTAGTCAGCGGCCGTCTTCTCGTCGTTCCTATGGGGAGCCGGACCCATAGAGACCCACTGGGACCCATAGGGACCCATAGAGACCCATAGGGACCCATTGGGACCCATAGGGACCCCATAGGGACACATAGAGACCCCATAGGGACCCATAGAGACCCCATAGGGACACATAGAGACCCATAGAGACCCATTGGGACCCATAGAGACCCCATAGGGACACATAGAGACCCCATAGGGACCCATAGAGACCCATAGAGACCCATTGGGACCCATAGAGACCCCACAGGGACCCATAGAGACCCATTGGGACCCATAGAGACCCCATAGAGACCCATTGGGACCCATAGAGACTCCATAGGGACCCATAGAGACCCATTGGGACCCATAGAGACCCATTGGGACCCATAGAGACCCATTGGGACCCGTAGAGACCCCATAGGGACCCATAGAGACCCATAGGGACCCATAGAGACCCATTGGGACCCATAGAGACCCCATAGGGACCCATAGAGACCCATTGGGACCAATAGAGACCCATTGGGACCCATAGGGACCCACAGAGACCCATAGGGACCCATAGAGACCCCATTGGGACCCATAGAGACCCATTGGGACCCATAGAGACCCCACAGGGACCCATAGAGACCCATTGGGACCCATAGAGACCCATTGGGACCCATAGAGACCCCATAGAGACCCATTGGGACCCATAGAGACTCCATAGGGACCCATAGAGACCCATTGGGACCCATAGAGACCCACCATAGAGACCCACTGGGACCCATAGAGACCCATTGGGACCCATAGAGACCCATTGGGACCCACAGAGACCCATTGGGACCCATTGGGACCCATAGAGACCCACCATAGAGACCCATTGGGACCCATAGAGACCCATTGGGACCCATAGAGACCCATTGGGACCCATAGAGACCCCATAGGGACCCATAGAGACCCATTGGGACCCATAGAGACCCCATAGGGACCCATAGAGACCCATTGGGACCAATAGAGACCCATTGGGACCCATAGGGACCCACAGAGACCCATAGGGACCCATAGAGACCCCATTGGGACCCATAGGGACCCATAGAGACCCACTGGGACCCATAGAGACCCACAGAGACCCATTGAGACCCATAGAGACCCATAGGGACCCATAGAGACCCCATAGGGACCCATTGGGACCCATAGAGACTCCATTGGGACCCATAGGGACCCACAGGGACCCCATAGAGACCCACTGGGACCCCATAGAAACCCACAGAGACCCATAAGGATCCATAGGGACCCACAGAGACCCATAGGGACCCCATAGAGACCCCACAGATCCACCCCATAGCCCCACAGACCCACCCTATAGCCCCATAGAGCCCCATAGATCCACCCCATAACCCCATAGGGCCCCACAGATCGACCCCAGAGCCTCATACAGCCCCACAGACCCCCCCCCCATAGAACCCCACAGACCCACCCTATAGCCCCACAGCTCCCCACAGAGCCCCCGAGATCCCCATAGACCCAACTCACAGCCCCATAGAGCTCCACAAACCCACCCTATAGCCCCATAGAACCCCATAGATCCACACTACAGCCCCACAGAGCCCCATAGATCTACTCTATAGCCCCATAGATCACCCCATAGAGCCAGACAGATCACCCCATAGCGCCCCATAAATCACCCCATAGAGCCCCACAGATCACCCCACAGGTCAACCCATAGAACCCCACAGATCACTCCACAGCACCCCATAGATTACCCCATAGCACCCCATGGATCACCGTGTAGCACCCCATCGATCACCCCATAGAGCCCCACAGACCACCCCATAGATCACCCCATTGAGACAGATCACCCCATAGCGCCCCATAGATTGCTCCATAGTGCTCCATAAATCACCCCATAGCGCCCCACAGACTACTCCATAGAACCCCACAGATCACCCCACAGAACCCCACAAGTCAACCCATACAGCCCCATAGAACACCCCATAGAGCCCCATGGATCACCGCGTAGCACCCCATAGATCAAACCATAGATGACCCAATAGCACCCCATAGATTAACCCACAGATCACCCCATAGCGCCCCACAGTTCACCCCATAGCGCCCCATAGATCACCCCACAGCGCCCCATAGATCACCCCACAGCGCCCCATAGATCACCCCACAGCGCCCCACACATCACCCCACAGATCACCCCATAGATCACCCAATAGCACCCAACAGATCACCCCACAGCGCCCCATAGATCACCCCACAGCGCCCCATAGATCACCCCACAGCGCCCCACAGATCACCCCACAGCGCCCCATAGATCACCCCACAGCGCCCCATAGATCACCCCATAGCGCCCCATAGATCACCCCACAGCGCCCCATAGATCACCCCACAGCGCCCCATAGATCACCCCATAGCGCCCCATAGATCACCCCACAGCGCCCCACAGATCACCCCACAGCGCCCCATAGATCACCCCACAGCGCCCCATAGATCACCCCATAGCGCCCCACAGATCACCCCATAGCGCCCCATAGATCACCCCACAGCGCCCCACAGATCACCCCACAGCGCCCCATAGATCACCCCATAGCGCTCACATCTGCTTCCCACTGTAGATGAGGCGCTGCTGCTGGGGGGGGATCCCCTCCTTCTCCTCCACCCGCTCCTTGATGCGCTCCACCTGCGTATTATGGGATGGCGGGGGGGGAACCCCATAGGGTATTATGGGATGGAGGGGAACCCCCCATAGGGTATTATGGGATGGAGGGGAACCCCCCATAGGGTATTATGGGATGGAGGGGAACCCCATAGGGTATTATGGGATGGAGGGGAACCCCCCATAGGGTATTATGGGATGGAGGGGAACCCCCCATAGGGTATTATGGGATGGCGGGGAACCCCCCATAGGGTATTATGGGATGGAGGGGAACCCCCCATAGGGTATTATGGGATGGAGGGGAACCCCCCATAGGGTATTATGGGATGGAGGGGAACCCCCCATAGGGTATTATGGGATGGAGGGGGAACCCCATAGGGTATTATGGGATGGAGGGGAACCCCATAGGGTATTATGGGATGGAGAGGAACCCCCCACAGGGTATTATGGGATGGAGGGGGGGGAACCCCATAGGGTATTATGGGATGGAGGGAACCCCCCCATAGGGTATTATGGGATGGAGGGGAACCCCCCATAGGGTATTATGGGATGGAGGGAACCCCCCCATAGGGTATTATGGGATGGAGGGGAACCCCCCATAGGGTATTATGGGATGGAGGGGAACCCCCCATAGGGTATTATGGGATGGAGGGAACCCCCCATAGGGTATTATGGGATGAAGGGGAACCCCCCATAGGGTATTATGGGATGGCGGGGGAACCCCCCATAGGGTATTATGGGATGGAGGGGAACCCCCATAGGGTATTATGGGATGGAGGGGAACCCCCCATAGGGTATTATGGGATGGAGGGGAACCCCCCCATAGGGTATTATGGGATGGAGGGGAACCCCCCATAGGGTATTATGGGATGGAGGGGGAACCCCATAGGGTATTATGGGATGGATAAGGAGCCCCATAAGCTATTATGGAACGAATAAAGACTTCCATAGAGCACTAAGGAAGGGGGTGCTCATTATGGGATGGATGAGGAAGACTCCCCCCCCCCCCATGGGACTATTATGGGATGGCTGAGGACCCCCGCGGGCTATTATGGGATGGCTTTACCTTGTCTGTGGGCTCGATATCGATCTCGATCTCTTTGCCTGTCAATGTCTATGGGGAAACAAAGGGGGGGGGGGGGCAAGTTGATCCCTATGGGGCTGAGACCCCTCCCATTGATCCCTATGGGGCTGAGACCCCTCCCATTGATCCCTATGGGGCTCAGACCCCTCCCATTGATCCCTATGGGGCTCGGACCCCCTCCCATTGATCCCTATGGGGCTTGGACTCCCTCCCATTGCTCTCTATGGGGCTCGGACCCCTCCCATTGATCCCTATGGGGCTCGGAGCCCCTCCCATTGATCCCTATGGGGCTCGGACCCCCTCCCATTGATCCTATGGGGTTCAGACCCCTCCCATTGATCCCTATGGGGCCCAGACCCCCTCCCATTGCTCCCTATGGGGCTCAGACCCCTCCCATTGATCCCTATGGGGCTCGGACCCCCTCCCATTGATTCCTATAGGGCTCAGTCCCCACCCCATTGATTCTATGGGGCCCTGACCCCCTCCCATTGATTCCTATGGGGCTCGGACCCCCTCCCACTGATCCCTATGGGGCTCAGCCCCTACCCCATTGATTCCTATGGGGCTCAGCCCCTACCCCATTGATCCCTATGGGGCCCAGACCCCCTCCCACTGATCCCTATGGGGCTCAGCCCCTACCCCATTGATTCCTATGGGGCTCGGACCCCCTCCCATTGATACCTATAGGGCACAGTCCCCACCCCATTGATCCCTATGGGGCCCTGACCCCGTCCCATTGACTCCTATGGGGCTCGGACCCCTCCCCCATTGCTCCCTATGGGGCTCAGACCCCTCCCATTGCTCCCTATGGGGTCCTGACCCTCCCCCATTGCTCCCTATGGGGCTCAGTCCCCACCCCATTGATTCTATGGGGCTCGGACCCCCTCCCATTGATCCCTATGGAGCCCTGACCCCCTCCCACTGATCCCTATGGGGCTCAGCCCCTACCCCATTGCTCCCTATGGGGCTCAGCTCCCACCCCACTGATCCCTATGGGGCTCGAACCCCCTCCCATTGCTCCCTATGGGGCTCAGACCCCCTCCCATTGATCCCTATGGGGCTCGGACCCCCTCCCATTGCTCCCTATGGGGCTCGGACCCCCTCCCATTGATCCCTATAGGGCTCGGACCCCCTCCCATTGATCCCTATGGGGCTCGGACCCCCTCCCATTGCTCCCTATGGGGCTCAGACCCCCTCCCATTGCTCCCTATGGTGCTCAGACCCCCTCCCATTGCTCCCTATGGGGCTGAGACCCCCTCCCATTGATCCCTATGGGGCTCAGACCCCCTCCCATTGATCCCTATGGGGCTCGGACCCCCTCCCATTGCTCTCTATGGGGCTCGGACCCCCTCCCATTGCTCCCTATGGGGCTGAGACCCCCTCCCATTGCTCCCTATGGGGCTGAGACCCCCTCCCATTGCTCCCTATGGGGCTCAGACCCCCTCCCATTGATCCCTATGGGGCCCTGACCCCCTCCCATTGCTCCTATGGGGCTCGGACCCCCACCCCATTGATTCTATGGGGCCCTGATCCCATCCCATTGACTCCTATGGGGCTCAGACCCACCCCCATTGCTCCCTATGGGGCTCAGACCCCCTCCCATTGCTCCCTATGGGGCCCTGACCCCCTCCCACTGATCCCTATGGGGCTCAGCCCCTACCCCATTGATTCCTATGGGGCTCGGACCCCCTCCCATTGATTCCTATAAGGCACAGTCCCCACCCCATTGTTTCTATGGGGCCCTGACCCCGTCCCATTGACTCCTATGGGGCTCGGACCCCTCCCATTGATCCCTATGGGGCTCGGACCCCCTCCCATTGATCCCTATGGGGCTCGGACCCCCTCCCATTGCTCCCTATGGGGCTCGGACCCCCTCCCATTGATCCCTATAGGGCTCGGACCCCCTCCCATTGATCCCTATGGGGCTCGGACCCCCTCCCATTGCTCCCTATGGGGCTCAGACCCCCTCCCATTGCTCCCTATGGTGCTCAGACCCCCTCCCATTGCTCCCTATGGGGCTGAGACCCCCTCCCATTGATCCCTATGGGGCTCAGACCCCCTCCCATTGATCCCTATGGGGCTCGGACCCCCTCCCATTGCTCTCTATGGGGCTCGGACCCCCTCCCATTGCTCCCTATGGGGCTGAGACCCCCTCCCATTGCTCCCTATGGGGCTGAGACCCCCTCCCATTGCTCCCTATGGGGCTCAGACCCCCTCCCATTGATCCCTATGGGGCCCTGACCCCCTCCCATTGCTCCTATGGGGCTCGGACCCCCACCCCATTGATTCTATGGGGCCCTGATCCCATCCCATTGACTCCTATGGGGCTCAGACCCACCCCCATTGCTCCCTATGGGGCTCAGACCCCCTCCCATTGCTCCCTATGGGGCCCTGACCCCCTCCCACTGATCCCTATGGGGCTCAGCCCCTACCCCATTGATTCCTATGGGGCTCGGACCCCCTCCCATTGATTCCTATAAGGCACAGTCCCCACCCCATTGTTTCTATGGGGCCCTGACCCCGTCCCATTGACTCCTATGGGGCTCGGACCCCTCCCATTGATCCCTATGGGGCTCGGACCCCCTCCCATTGATCCCTATGGGGCTCGGAGCCCCTCCCATTGCTCCCTGTGGGGCTGAGACCCCTCCCATTGATCCCTATGGGGTTCAGACCCCCTCCCATTGATCCCTATGGGGTTCAGACCCCCTCCCATTGATCCCTATGGGGCTCAGACCCCCTCCCATTGCTCCCTGTGGGGCTGAGACCCCTCCCATTGATCCCTATGGGGTTCAGACCCCCTCCCATTGATCCCTATGGGGCTCAGATCCCCTCCCATTGATCCCTATGGGGCTCAGACCCCCGCCCATTGATCCCTATGGGCTCGGACCCCCTCCCATTGATCCCTATGGGGCTCAGACCCCCTCCCATTGCTCCCTATGGGGCTCAGACCCCCTCCCATTGCTCCCTATGGGGCTCAGACCCCATCCCACTGATCCCTAGGGGGCTCGGACCCCCACCCCATTGATCATAATGGGGCTCAGACCCCTCCCATTGATCCCTATGGGGCTCAGCCCCTACCCCATTGATCCCTATGGGGCTCAGACCCCCTCCCATTGCTCCCTATGGGGCTCGGACCCCCTCCCACTGATCCCTATGGGCTCAGCCCCTACCCCAATGATTCCTATGGGGCTCGGACCCCCTCCAATTGATACCTATAGGGCACAGTCCCCACCCCATTGATTCTATGGGGCCCTGACCCCGTCCCATTGACTCCTATGGGGCTCGGACCCCTCCCCCATTGCTCCCTATGGGGCTGAGACCCCCTCCCATTGCTCCCTATGGTGCCCAGACCCCCTCCCATTGCTCCCTATGGGGTCCTGACCCCCCCATTGCTCCCTATGGGGCTCAGTCCCCACCCCATTGATTCTATGGGACTCGGACCCCCTCCCATTGCTCCCTATGGGGCTCAGCCCCCCTCCCATTGCTCCCTATGGGGCTCAGCCCCCCTCCCATTGCTCCCTATGGGGCCCTGACCCCCTCCCATTGATCCCTATGGGGCTCAGCCCCCCTCCCATTGCTCCCTATGGGGCTCAGACCCCCTCCCATTGATCCCTATGGAGCCCTGACCCCCTCCCGTTGCTCCCTATGGGGCTCAGCCCCCCTCCCATTGCTCCCTATGGGGCTCAGCTCCCACCCCACTGATCCCTATGGGGCTCAGACCCCTCCCATTGATCCCTATAGGGCTCGGACCCCCACCCCACTGATTCTATGGGGCTCAGACCCCCTCCCATTGCTCCCTATGGGCCTCAGTCCCCACCCCATTGATTCTATAGGGCTTGGACCCCCTCCCACTGATCCCTATGGGCTCAGACCCCTCCCATTGATCCCTATGGGGCTCAGCCCCCCTCCCATTGCTCCCTATGGGGCTCAAACCCTCCCCACTGATCCCTATGGGGCTCGGACCCCATCCCACTGATCCCTATGGGGCTCAGCCCCTACCCCATTGATTCCTATGGGGCTCAGCCCCGACCCATTGATCCCTATGGGGCCCAGACCCCCTCCCACTGATCCCTATGGGTCTCAGCCCCCCTCCCATTGATCCCTATGGGGCTCAGACCCCCTCCCATTGATCCCTATGGGGCTCGGACCCCCTCCCATTGCTCCCTATGGGGCTCGGACCCCCTCCCATTGATCCCTATGGGGCTCAGACCCCCTCCCATTGATCCCTATGGGGCTCGGAGCCCCTCCCATTGATCCCTATGGGGCTCGGACCCCCTCCCATTGATCCCTATGGGGCTCGGACCCCCTCCCATTGATCCCTATGGAGACCTGACCCCCTCCCATTGCTCCCTATGGGGCTCAGACCCCCTCCCATTGATCCCTATGGGGCTCAGACCCCCTCCCATTGCTCCCTATGGGCTCAGACCCCCTCCCATTGCTCCCTATGGGGCTTGGACCACCTCCCATTGCTCCCTATGGGGCTCAGACCCCCTCCCATTGCTCCCTATGGGCCCAGACTCCCTCCCACTGATCCCTATGGGGCTCGGACCCCCTCCCATTGATCCCTATGGGGCTGAGACCCCCTCCCATTGATCCCTATGGGGCTCAGCCCCCTCCCATTGCTCCCTATGGGGCTCAGCCCCTACCCCATTGATTCCTATGGGGCTTGGACCCCCTCCCATTGATACCTATAGGGCACAGTCCCCACCCCATTGATTCCATGGGGCCCTGACCCCGTCCCATTGACTCCTATGGGGCTCGGACCCCCTCCCATTGATCCCTATGGGGCTCGGACCCCCTCCCATTGCTCCCTATGGGGCTCAGCCCCCACCCCATTGCTCCCTATGGGGCCCTGACCCCCTCCCATTGCTCCCTATGGGGCTCAGCCCCCCTCCCATTGCTCCCTATGGGGCTCAGCTCCCACCCCACTGATCCCTATGGGGCTCAGACCCCTCCCATTGATCCCTATAGGGCTCGGACCCCCACCCCACTGATTCTATGGGGCTCAGACCCCCTCCCATTGCTCCCTATGGGCCTCAGTCCCCACCCCATTGATCCCTATGGGGCTCGGACCCCCACCACACTGATTCTATGGGGCTCAGACCCCCTCCCATTGCTCCCTATGGGGCTCAGTCCCCACCCCATTGCTCCCTATGGGGCCCTGACCCTCTCCCATTGCTCCCTATGGGTCTCAGCCCCCCTCCCATTGCTCCCTATGGGGCTCAGCCCCCACCCCATTGATTCTATGGGGCCCTGACCCCCTCCCATTGCTCCCTATGGGGCTCAGCCCCCACCCCATTGATTCTATGGGGCCCGAGCACCTTCACTTTGATCAGCATCGTGCCCCTCCGTCCTCCCCGCCGGCGGAAGCGGAAATGACGCCAGCACGCCGCCGCCGCCGCTTTTATACCCCCA